TTTTTTTTTTTTTTTTCCATTAAATTTTACAGAAAAAGAGAGAAAAAAAAGATGAAAAAATTATATTAATTTCAACTCATGGAAAAAGAAGTTTCACAATTGAATTATTGCTCATCTTAGCCCATATGCCGTGCTGCTCGCTTGATTATTTGTTGTTCTCTGCTCCATGGTAATATACTGCCGAATTAGTCGAGAAATTTCATGAGCTTGCTCGGTTTGGAGTCTTGTGATACGTTGTTGCATCAAATTGCCACATTTCATGTCTAAATACAGAGCTCCCTCCTCGGATTTAACTTTACGAGTGGATATGACTTCAGAGTATGGATAATGATACAAAGTCTCCTGTGAAAAATGAAACATGAAAATTCCAAACACCTATTGCATTTGTTTTTTTTTTAATCCACTTACATGAGTAATTAAATCAATGAAATGGACTCCATGACGATTAAGAGCCAGAATATGATCCCCGACTTTTTCTTTGCCACTTTCAGGCACTCGTTTCACAGCGAAGAAACTTGAACCAAATAAAGGCCACTTGGATAGTATTTCTGGATAAGTAATAGACAAAATTAATGATTTAGTCAACGAGGAGGTTGATAAAACAATTGATTTTGGTTGTTTACCTAGCACTTGTGCTTTGCATATGGCTGGAGTATTGTCCTGTATATTATTCCATGCTTGTTGTACCATATTGCCCCACTGCTGTGGACGAGGCTCGCGCAAGCTTAACGCGGGTTTTGGAAGAAGATATTTAATTTCTTTCGTTGATGGCTCATGGGGCATATCGGCTGCTCTATGCAGGAGTGCAGCTATTTGTGCCATATCATAAATAACTTGTTGCGATAAATGTTCACCAGGAATTACTAACAACAATCCTTCTAAATAATCAGGGGCAATTTGATTGAAAACCACTTCTATGTATAGTGCCGCGTCCAATCTGAGTGGATAGTACCATACGGATCTGCAGAATATTAAATAAAATACTTGATGATTCTTATGGAGTTCTGTTGTCACATCGAGAACATACTCGTCTCTGGCAAGTGGCATGGTAAAAGCATCACCATCAACAATGCAATATAATGAAAATTCATCCATTTCATGTGGATTCCTTACGGATATAATATTGCACATTTCTTCGATAACATCTTGAACAACTGTAGTGCATTTAGTATTAATTACTCTTTCTGTACCGCCTGGTAATCTATAGATCTGCCTCTTGGCATTTCTACCAGCACTTATCGCCATAATTTCTTCAACACTAGGAACATTTTTCCTACCACCGTATTTCACTGTTTTTCTCAAATTTTGCAGACAAACAGTCGCTGTACCATGATATGCGCGCCTTTTGTCATAGGCGGCTGTCTCGAGATATTTAATAAGATATGGTCTCAAGTTTTCACTGCAAGTGAAATATGCAGCAACGATACTGAAAAGTCTCCAGCCCCTTTGACAACTGTCTGGATTGGAGCTCTTATTGTTTGTTGTTTGTTTCATAAGTTGACAATAAACTTCGTCTCGAAGTGGTTCGTATCTGTGGCAGTGCTATGATAAATAAAAAGGAAAGAAAATTAATGGAAATATTATTTACCTATTATTTATTATATTGAAGAGAAAAAATAGAAAAGAAAAAAAAGCAAAAATGAAAAAAATTCATGGGTGACTTTTTAATGGTAAAACATTAGAAAGTTGTTGCTGATCATTTCACTTACCATCAGTATTGTATAAACGCACTTAACTTCACTCATATCTGGAGGCAATGGTTGATCAGCCATATACCTCATAAGACACGAGAAACATTCAACCGCGAGAGAACTCATTTCGCCTTCAAGACGAAGCAGGCTCTGCTCTATTGGCACTTGTGAGAATTTTACAAGATCAACTTGTTCTTTCCATGTCCACTCGGTACCATCATGTTGACCCTTTGTCTTCTTACTTTTCTTCTTATTCTTCAATGATTCAATCACCTTGAGTGAACCACTTATCGATCCATCAGCTGTTTTCATCATTTCAAATCTAAGGAAAGACGAAAGAGTTTATTTATTTTTATCATTAATAAAAAGCAACAAGCCTATTTACAATAAGTAAGAAGCTATAAGAGCGATTATATCATTTCAAGTACATATTATACGATCCGAGATTTACTACGCATTATGAAAATATAATTAGCAAATAATTCAATAAATTACATAGAAAATAAAATTATTTTTCATATAGGAATGGATGATTAATGCCTTTCTTCACGTGAAAGTCGAACGACCGGTCGCCGGTACTGTATTTGGGACAGAGATGGAGAGGTCGTTGACCTCTATTAATTATACCATGTGTGTTTTATTTTATTTTTTACATTTTTTGCAAATCGATCATTCAAACTAGCTGTATAGTGGCTATATGAAAAACAAGAAAGAAAAAGAAAGGAATACCAATTAAATAGTGAAATTTTTAAATTTCTTTCATTTCGGTTGCCCGAGTCCATAGACTCGTTTATTTATTTCCCGGAAGTACGGGAAAAAATGAGCTTAGCACGCGATGCTTTGAATCCCATGGATTTTTCATGTGAAAGTTGCATAGTAACCTAGTGCATGTTTATTTCCCTTTCCTACTTTAAAGATTACACACTGTCATACCTCAAATAGAATGAATTGAATTGGACAATTAGTGCGGCGCATGTAAAATGTAACGCTAGCTACAAGTTACTGATAGGAAAAATGTACAGTTATAATAAGGGAGAAGAGAGAAAAATATGACGTACTTCTCTGTACTCTGGCGGAAATTTAATATGGCAAACTGTAGAAGTGAATGTTTGCCATCGTTGATCACTGGCCCAGACTCGTAGATGCTCTCCTCATTGGATTTATTAATTTCCTCTGGTTGTCGCCATTCTGCACACTGGCCATTAGGATTTCCATGTTTACCATTTGCCTGGATGATACCAACTGAATGACTAGCCATACGATTTCCCGGTGAATGATTGCTGTCACAATTTGTGTGATTCAATTGATTGCGACTCTGATTGTTATGATTCTGGTGAGAGTTGATGTGATTTGTTTGCGATTGGATTGACTTTGATATTTGAGATACATGATTATCATGCTGAATCTTCATGTGGGCTTTTTGCTCAATCTGAAATGAATTTCACCCATTAATGTCGAATTTACTGTGTCGATTCAAGTTTGAAAAATTTTAATCATCAGTTTTTTCTCCTAATAAATCACACATGTTGTCGACTACCATCAACAATTAATTGGAATACGTCACTATCGTGATGCCGGTTCTTGTTTAAAATCACGGTCATGTACATTAATTTCGTTGAAATTTTCGTCAGACCTCTTTTGAATTGTGTATTAGAAAATGACAAAGAATTAAAATTAATTACTCTATTATAAACTTGATTCACTCCTCCAACTGCTTCATTGATTTTTTCATATGTCTCTGGAGCATTAATGAGGGTTGTTTTATCACTGCATTTGTCTTCTATCTGTTGTTGCACTTGATTGTGGATTCTCATGTCCTCAAACCTCTTCAGAATTTCTCGCACACTCAATTTACTGATATTCTGACTTTCTTCAGTTATTGTTTCCATTTTAGTTTTCGGTGAATTCTTATCATACATGTTGTAAAAAAATTCATCGATTGTGAAATCATCACAATCAGGATAATTGGGGCTAATTAAATTAGCCCTCTGATTTTTTTCCTCATGATGATCAAATGATGTAACAGATTTTGTGCTATCTCTCAATTGTTCAATTGTTGGCTGACGTTTTTGGCTGGTCTTTAATGATCTCAATGAGTCGATACGTGGAATATTTTCATATTTATAACGACTCTGAACTGCAGGGGTGTTCTTATGAAATTCTTCAATTTTTTTGCTTTCATCAACTTTTTTCATAAAAATGTGGTGTTTCTGAGGGACATTTTTATTCATGTCCAATGGGATTTCACATCCAGAAAACTTGTCATATTTCGACAATTGATTATCCAAAATTGCACCTGAATCATCAGTATGTTGGTAATCATCGCTACCTGTTGCCTCTGAATCGGAAGATTTAAAGAAAAGACTATCTGGAGAATTGGTTTTTCGCCCTTCCTCAGACAGACTCCTCCTATATTCTGTATTGATTACCATGCTTGGAAAATTAGGTTTAACTCGGTTCTGAACCTCATGTTGTAATAATCTATCTTGAGGATTTTTCCATGTATGACAAGATGAATTTCTTTTCACTTCATTCATCTCATATTTACGTAACAATTCCGAACGTTTCACAATTTTTTGAAAATTTGATGATTTTCCATCATTTTCCACGCAACTTATTTCACATTCTGATAATTCACAAAGTTGTGTAAATTGACCAAAGATATCTGGATGGTGGTTCTGGCGACGTTGTAGAGTTTGAGGTAACTCTTCCCAATTACTAATCATACGACGGGAAAATTTTCTCTCTGTATCAGATATTTCATGTTCCATTATTGAGAGTGTTGTCCATTAACGATTCAGTGACACACAACAGACAATTTAATTCATCACCCTGCATGAGAGTCACATTAATTTCGTATTTTAATTCAGAAAAAGGATCATTATTTTTACCCCACTGAATTCCATTATCAATTCTTTTTCTTTTCTATTCTTCCTTCATCATCATGAGAAAAAAATGTTCATGGGAGTTTTCAATGTACCAGCAACAATTGACATACTAGTTGGATTATTATAATTATGTGGGGGCAGGAAACTTTTGTAGAAGGTAACTGCAATATTGTGAATGAGAAAAATATGTAGTTTCTTTATTTTGATTATCTTGATGTTTTTCTCAAAATTTTTCAGCACAAGCACAATATTGTTTTAAAAAGTTGGCCGGTATCACACACGTTTATTAGAAAAATTTGATAATTTCGGAAGATATAAATGTGCAAAGACTCATTATAATCACTATGCCGTAGCGGAATTCCGCCAAAGACTAAACTGAACGTTGGATAGATGTGTAAACTTGTAGTATGGTTGACGGCACATACAGCTATACTACAGGAAACCGTCGTCCGTACCGTAGTAAGGCCTTCGAAAGACTGTTATCTGGGTCGTACCCCACTAGATGTATTTGCTACAGGTTGATATGTACACGTGGAACAGGCTTGGAGAAAGAATGCGGTTACTTCCTCTAAGGCTTGCAAGATGAAATTTTGCACATCTCATTTGTGTGTGTGTGTGTGTGTGTGTGTAAATAAAATTGATCAATTTTCTGTATATTATTGCTATCTCTCTGACTGTAGATTATTGTAATATTGATATACAAATGTATTGCATGTTGAATATGAACAGAAATAATAACAAACAATAATAATGCAGGATTGCACTGTTTGTGTTTTGATGTAATATACGAATACACACACACAATTCAAATCGAGGCCAATATAATCCTGGCCCTAGTATTTGCACTTGGGGCATAAAATGAAAATGAAAGAAAAAAAATTGATCATTTTTTGAGTGTGACTCCTATGATAAGTTTCATGTAAATTAGCATAATTATTTTTTCGGCATTCACCTATTGAGGTTTAAAGGTCAAAAGATATGTATATGAATGGTATAAATATAACGGTTTAATGAATCAAGGAGTCTCAACGAATGGTACAACGTGGATCACGGGCGGTTAAGTGTGAGATGTAGAGGTAGTCACTTTTTTCTTCATCTTTCTTACTTGATATTGTACTTATCGATGAAATTAAAAAAAAAAAATGGCAATTTTTTCGCTTTTCATTTTTCTGCAGAGTTTCACACATGAGCAACGATAAACAACGCCCTTTTCATGTACACTACCGGAAGAGAAGCAAAATTATATAGGCTCATAAAGCTGAAAATTGTAAATACTAGGAAATATATGGATAAATAGCATTGATCTATAACTTACCACACGAATGTAATTGCCAATCATTTCAGCAAGTTGAGAAGCACGATTGGTGTGTAATGGTAAGCGAACACCGGAGGAAATAGTTAGTGTACATAAGCCAGGTTTCGAGAATCCAACTGACACAATATCTTCCAAAACAAGTGTTTCTATAATCACCAATTCTCCGGATGCATTTCTTTTCAACAATCTTAAACCACTATGGGATAATGCCACGTGCTCCGCCTCTGGGTGTTGAGGTCCAATCTATGAAAAATCCAATTTTAAAAATAATAATCTTGGATGATGGTTATTATAGATATTATTGAATGTTAAGTTCAACTCACAGAAACAGGAAAAATTCGAGAAAAATATAAGGACCATTGCTTAGCCATATCGACGACATTTTTCTTAATGGTAATTTTGTGATGAGTACTTTGAAGATTCTCCAAGGTAACTCCATAGTTATGAAGAAGTTTAAGCATATTCTGACGTTCGTCCTTGGCAATTTTGATACAACTTGTTGCCAAAACATCATAAGCGATTTGGCAAAATACTAAATGAAGAGCTAAAGGGCTTGATAGAATTTCATTAGGTGCAAACACTTCTTTCTTTACTCTCAGTGTCCATGAAACTCTATTATAAGTAAAGTGGGTATTTGATGTCCATGGATGGAGTTTGGTATCAACAACTTCTTGAACTTTTTCTATTTCTGGTTTATCAGGAGGTGGTAGAACTGGTTTTAAAAATTCTGGCCACTCCTCAATTTCGATTCTCTCCAATTTATCAGTGCGTTGAGTCGATGCTATGCTAGATCTTCTGTCTGTATCAATTTTTTTAAAGCTTTGTCTAGCAATAACAAAAGATTCTCTTGTATTTGATACAACGCCAAACTCCCGGGTAGACGGCAAACCAAAGCTGTCGCGAGATTTTGGTGATAAATCTCTACAGGTTGTGAAGGAATCTAGATCTCCTCTTTTCGTATTGTCGAACATGTCTCGCGAGTATTTGTCAAAAATATCACAATTCAAGTCTCGATATAAGTCGAAATGGCAATTTCTATCTTGGTTTGTTGTTGCTGCCAAGTCTGTATCTTTACCATAAGGCATTTGACATTTGTGCTGTAGAGCAAATATATCTCTACTCTGACTAAACATGTTTTGATTGTTGAAATGAGATATATGAGATTCTGTATCTTGTGTAGTATGAAAGCTGTCATGATTGATTTTCGATTCAATGGGAGTTGGCAGTAATTGTGATTTTAGTTCAGCTGATTGATTATTATTATTATTATTATTATTATTATTATTACTATTATTATTATTACTATTACAATATATACTTGCACCTTGAGGGCTTTGAGTTTGTGGAGGTGATATTGGAGGTGGTGGCGGTATTGGGCGACATTCCATTCGCTCAATTTGTGTACGAACTACTTGAGCTTGAGTCAACATTTCAGTTGTACCTTTGGAAGTGATACTCTGCGCATCATCTGCTGTTGATGATGTTGCATAATCATCCCATCTTCCACTCAATTGTTGCTGAAGTAATAGCTTTCGATTATCCTCAAGTCTATTAATTTTAATTTCCTCCCTTGGTAATGCTGGCTTTTCACTAGTCTTTGTTGATCTAACACTATGATTGGCAGTTACCTTTTCCAATCGCTGTCTCATCTCCGAACTCAGTTTCAATTTACCAATGCTTCCTGGTGAGGGCCTATGTGCTCCCACTTCCAATCCACATTTTGATTTTTTCTTTTTTCTCTCAGATTCATCTATTTTCATTGATTTATTATTATTATCAATCATGTTATTGTCAATATCAAATTCTTCCCAGTCAATAGAGCCCCCCTCAATTTCATCTGCATTTCCCTGATTATTATACTCTTGATATTGTTGAGGAGTTATTTTTCTCATTTGTTGATGCTGTCTCATTTTAAATTCAGTAAAACTATCCTGACTTTGATTGTCATTTTGATCACTAGGTGGTGGCCATCTCCATTTACCAATTCTAACTGTTTTAGCCCGTCCATACGGATCTAGAAATGGCCGTGATTCAGATGGATCATGTGCATCAAGGGGTGGAGGCATTGGAGGCGGTGGTGGTGGTGGTGTTGGTGTCGATGTTGATGTTGATGTTGAAACAACTCCTCTTCCATTTATGACAGTTTGATTATTATTATCAGTAATAACACTACTACTTTTTCGATTTTTTAATTCACTCAAAACATTTGTAAAATTATTTTGCACATGTGCAGAACGGCCTGAGCTTGTTCTTTTCAATTCTGGTGTGGATGAAATATTTCTCTCAACACTTATCTTTCTCACTGCATATTCTACACTTGTTTTTCGTGTTAAATCGACATTTTTTTTTGGTGGGCTCTGGGAACGATGAATTTGGGCTTTAACTGTAACAGTTTCCAATTGATGATTGGAAATTGGATTCGTTGTATTTTGATGCTTAACAGATTCAGCTTCAATCATAGTTAATGATTGGGTGCCATTTTGCACAAGAAGTTGTTGAAATGCTTGATTTTGTGCTAAAAGTTGTTGTTGAATTTGCAGATTTTGTGCCATGGCACTTTGAAGAAAAGCACGTTGAAGATTTTGTTGATAAGCAACTATATCAGTATTTTGGCTGTTTGGTGGTGAATTTGGATATTGTGGTAGACTCAATCCCTGCATATTATATATTGGAATGGGCAAAAAACCAGAGCCCATATTTAAATTTGGATTTTGACTTGTTGAAATTTGCTGATGAGTTGGGGATGGTGAAAATATTGGCATCATACCTGGCACACCTGACAATGACATAATACCTGGTGACAATGGGCTATAATTGAAAGTACTATTTTGATTAGGTATATCCATATTTCCACCTCCTTTAATTAAAGAGGATAAATTCAAAGGAGTCAATCTAGTATTTGATTGTAATTGATAATAATCCACAAATTGGTCTAAATTATCTGTGCCCTTTATACTTGCTGCAAGACTTCTTGCATCAGACAATTCATCAAGATTTCCATCGAGGACAGGCATAAAAAGTTCATCAAGAAATTGATCGACATCTGATGCTTGACTCGGTACTCTTACACGTCTTACATGAGACGCCAATGAAGGTGCTTCACTTGTATCTGACATGGCTGATGATTTAACTCCGTACTCGCTACTTTTTTCAATATAAGCACGACTAGATTGACTTCCAGGAAAGGCCCTTTTCCCTGGATATTGTGATTTAATAAAGCGAGTTTGGCATCTCGTATAGCTACTTTTATCATCTTCAGATCTTGCATTTTGACTGACTGATTGAATATCAGGATATTGAAAATCAATTGTAACATCATCATCATCATCATCATCATCATCATCATCATCATCATCTTCTTCTTCAACAATATTTGGCTCTGTACTTCTAGCTATTCTGCTGTATTTTCGTTGCTCTTGAGATGTATCATCACAATTTCTATCATTTATTATATACTCACTGGTGGATACGCCGGAGCTTTCCCCAATTCTCTCAAGACTGTGATAACGTTCATTCAATTTTGATGAAGAGAGACCAAGATTAGTGAGTTTATTATTTGTATTATTTGGCACTACAATTTCAGATTGAAGTAAATTGTCCAAGCTTCTACTTCGTTGTTTCTCTTTATCAAAATAACGATCATTTAAAGCAGATTGACGAGAAAGTCCTATTTCACCGGAGCTCTCTAATATTGGTTCATGAGACTGTTTTCTTGTCATTGGTTGGGATTTATTGGCTGACGGTGGCTGTGGTGGTGGTACAGCTGGACGTTTTGGCCCTAAATTTTCCACTTCTAATTGTTTTTGATTAGAAATATTCAATGACAATCTATTATCAAGAGGCTGAAATGTTTTCAATGATGGTATACGTGATGGTATATCCATATTATCCTTGTCAACAAATCCTTCACGAATAATTGATGATTGAGTATTTTGTTCCCGTCGAGGTATTGTTCTTGTAATAATACTATTCTTTCGCTGTCCAAGAAATATATGTTTAACTGCTGGAAATGCCGGTGCCAATTCCATTTCAGATATAATATCGAGTACATAATCAAAACCATTAGTTTCAGTTACAATAGCATCTGAACCATCCAATTCATTATTCCAAAGTGCTATTGTCCAACCATCATTTTCAACTCCATGATTTTTAACAGCTAAATTTGCTAATTCTTCACAAGTTGTCCACGAATTAATAGCACATGTTATTGTTTCACCGTCGTAAAATCCAACATTGAGGGCCATATTGACCCGATTTTTATTTGCTCTCCATTCAAGTACACAGGGTGGATAATGTCTTGATATATTATTTTGATGTATTGATAATTGATTGTTGTTCTTGTTGGTGTTGTTGTTGTTGTTGTTATTGCTGTTCTTATTATTATTATTCATTATGATTTTTAGCATAGTTCGTTCACTTTGGAGCAATTTCCTCTGGCAATAGGCCTTATAGCCATTGTATGCATGGTCCGATACATATTTCAATATATATTTAAAAAGTGTTGAACTAGGCTGAAATGCTGAGAGACAATTAGCAATAAGTAGCCAGCCTCTTTCTTTATTAATATCATTTTCATTTTTCCAAGTTTGATTAGCTAATTGACATAATATTTCATCCCTCAATTTTTCATTAACAATTCCTTTATTAACAATATAATCGCCAAGTGCATGTTCTCTCTTTCCAGTTAGATTATTTTCATTCATAAATCTCAAAATCATCTTGAATATTATGAGCGAATCACTATAATCTTGATCCCTTGCTTTATTTAAAAATGGTGTTTTTATTGGTTCTCGTTTCATGCCAAAAATATGACTTTTAAAATAAATATTGGTGAATTTTGAAAATTGATACTGATCAATATCGGATGGAAGTTTATAATTAAATGATGATGATGATGATGACGATGATGATACAACAGGACCCACTACTTTTAAAAGATTTCTCTCTGTATGAATTGGTTGCCAATCATCAAGTTTACTGTAAATAAATGCCAATTCTGCTGGTATTTCAAGATGATTAACTCCAGCCACAGCTCTCGATGCTTTTTCATGTTCTTCTCTTTGTTGTTTAGCCTTGGCTCTTTCTCTACTGGCCCTTTCAATTTCCACTCTTTTAGCCATTTTTTCCTTTAGAAGTATAAAATTTTTTCGCTGCTTTTTACCACGCCACAATTTTTGTGCCATAATAACGCCACATTTGAGTCCAATATATTTTTTTCTATCGCGATAACCACGATAGACTGCTTGAAGTAGAACAGTACTCTTTGATATATTGATAAATCGCCGTCTAGCAAGAAAACCCCTTGTATATCGTTGAACAGTTATGGCAGCACGTTCGAGAATAAGTGCTCGATTGTATTCTAAATTTCTCTCCAACGATTCCCTCAAAAAGACCCTTGTCAGGCCCAATTGATATTGATCATGGGCATTTTGCGGTACTGCTTTATCCAATATAATTCTACACAATTCTTTATTAGGTGCACCACGAGGTAAACGAGTTGTCATTAGATAACGATAACGTTCAACAAATTGTCCAAATATCAAACGTACTGGATATCCTGTTTTCCGAATACGAATTGTTTCCAACATTCCAGTATATCTCAATTGTTCCAATACACATGGCATATCATATTTCATTGGTGCTTTATCATTATTTGGCTTAATGCATCTAACAAACCAGGGATTGCATTGTGACATTGACTCTAAAAGTTGCTGAAGACTGTCGTGAAAACGTGCTGATACAGTTGGTGTTCGTGGTTTCATTGTTATAAATCTACCATTGGGCTTATTAATCGTCTTGTTGGCTTCATGGGAATTTCTAACATGTTGAAACATTTTGCTAACCATTTGAATTTTACTATTGATAAGTAGCTCAACAACATCCGGTCTTAATGTATCACGATTTTTATCTAAAAATCCATCAACATTGTACCACACCTGTCCAGCATAATGTTTAATAGCAAATTCAGCGGAATTCATTCGTGGACGTGAATATAATTCACTCAATGCATGATTATAATGGCATTTTTCTAAGAATGATAAATCACTTGCTTTTGGAAAATTACTCTCATCATCAAGAAGATGAAGTATACCAACTGGTTTTTTCGCTATTAAATGAATAACTGGCAAATTATCGGTGTAATTGATAGTTGTCCAATCAATTTTTTCCTTAACATACTCGTGCTGTTCGAGTTTGAAAATATGTTTATTGAAATAAAAATGCAAATTTTCATTGGCATAATTTATACACAGTTGTTCAAAACTGTTTTCAGTAAAATTTTCAAAGCCAAATATATCAAGAATTGATATTGCTGATGTTTGTTTAGTTCCTTTGTAAACAATGTGATTAACACGTGCAACAAGCCAGGAGAAAAGGGAACTGTAAAGTGCTTTAGCAAATGCATCTCTTGCATCCAATGCTTGATCAATGTTTAGAGCAGTCAATAATTTTTCATTTCTCGCTTCTGTTGTTTTCGTTGTAAGAGCACGAATTATTCCGTCTGTATTAATTTGCAGCAAATGGGCCGCCCAACGTATTTCAACATCTGAACCAACTTCCACACCCTCTTGACCATGTCTCATTTGCTTTCTATGAAAATATACATTCCCCAAGTGTAATACACTGGATAAAATTCGAAAAATTGTATCTTGCTCTTCAGATGTAAAACCCAAAACTTGCATTGCTGATAAAAGGGCTTTGAAGTCGTCAGTATCATTTTTCCCATCAATTTCACAGCTTCCCCCTTGATTAAGATAAAAATATTTGTCTGGAGTTAAAAGCCCGTATTTGTCTCTTAATTGTTGATCAAGACCGGCAAGTAATTCGTAAAAAACATGATAATTTCTCTCGTCCTGTGCTTGAGTCACAATTCGACTTTTTTCCAGCAAATATTGAGTGATGCGACCTCCAACAATAATACCATCTCGAAAATTCACTTCTAAATATTTTCCAAAACGACTGCTATTGTCATTACGAGGCGTCTTAGCATTACCAAAACTCTCAAGCAGTGGGGCTGCTTCCAAAATTTGTTCAGTAACCAAATTACTTGGCGCTCGATTCACTGCAGCCAGGTATTGCATTACAAGTTTTGTTGATTCCGTTTTTCCAGATCCAGATTCACCAGATATTACCACAACTTGATTAGCCATTGCATTATTCGCTGTAGAAACTTGACTGTAGGCTGAGGATCCCACAGCAAAAAGATGACTATTGGAAATTACGATAAGACAAATAAATTACATTATATAATAAAAAAATAAAAACAATGCTACATGCAATGTCCACTATTATTAATATTACTTGAGACTTACGGTGGCAGGGTACCAAGAATTCTTCCCTCGTATAATTTCACCTGGTCCAAACCGTAGATGTCAAACATTTTGTAGGGATTAACCGCTACAAGTATACTACCAGTGTAAGTCTAGAATTTGTCAAATGTTAAAGCCACTCTCTATCACTCCATTGCACGATTAGCACAGATTATATATATTTTAGAATTGAATTATTCAACTTACATAAATTAGTTCCTTATCATAACGGATTTTCAGATTCCACAGCAGAGATGCTTCATTCAAATCACTGCAACATTTTGTTTTTTTTTTTTTTACAAAATTATTCATTTTCATTTTTATTTCATTAAAAGCAAAGTTCAACTTTCGCATATTTAGCAAAATATTGATATAAATTGGATTTATTCTATTATTCCTCACTTTAATTGAATCATATCCTCGACTCCATTTTGTCCAAGATCTTGTCTCGGTCTCACTCCATTCAAATTTGTAAGAGTAAATGTTTGAGGCTGAAATTTTTATGACAATCAAATTTATATAACAGGAGAAAGATAAAGTATTCAATAATGAGAGAAAAAAATTTTTTTTACCTTGCCAGCGATCATTGCTTGAACTGAGAGAACATTAGCCGCTCTGTGGTATTCGAGAACTTCACCAGGTAGTACATGGCCAACACCTGGATCGAACCAGACGAGTTCGCCCTGTAAATGATAATAATAATGCGTATAATATAACTAACTATAATAATGATAATAATAATAATAACAAATCTGACTTTTTTCTTTTCATCAATCGATTCGTGTTTTGCTCCAGTCCATTTTTTTCCAAACTGCATCTTTCTTTTGCCCGTACATAGTCCAAAAATCGAAGATGAAGGAGTAGGTGAATTCGATTTATGATTATTAACATCACTCAAAGATCTCGAATGAATGTTGATAAACTCGTTATCAACATCATTTTTTTCATTAATAAATTTATTAGAAAACTTTTTTCTCTTTAATTCTACTTTTCCGTCTTCACCCCTCGAAGTAAACTTTGGTGGAATACCAGGACTAGTCCAATTAGAAGATTTCCTCAAACATTTTGTATAGAGTGGTAAAGTGCAAATGCCATTAGTTATATTTGGCACACAGTTGGGAGTATTGATCTTTTGGGTCGGCTTCAATCTAACTGAATTGGTTGTAAAATTGTAGCGAGTTTTATTATCACTATCGGAATTCCAAGCAACTCTTCCGATATATTTGCCTCCGACATTATCAAGAGCTCGAGCAGTATATTCATTTGAAGGAATAGTTGCAATACCCATCATCGTAGAGTAAATAAAATCATTTTTTTCACCACTATTATCATTAACATTGATCCTTTGTCTACTTGGTACAGGTTTCAATTTTTCTGACGAATAGCCTTTCAATGGCTTTACAATTGATCGTTTGTATAAATTTTCATCAGCAGGCTTGATTCCATAGTTTTTATTTTTTTCGAATTTTGAAAATTTATCTCTTTCATGTGACAATTTTGAACTATTGGTTGACTGGCTCAGGGAAGATAATTTTGATACAATTGGAAGTGATAATTGTCGTCTCCTTATTCTTCCATAAATGGGAGCTTCTCTATTGGTGGATTCTTTAAATTTCATAGTTACATTGCTTACTTGGCTGTCAATTTTTTCATGAGTTAATGATTTATCAACAAGATTTGTTGTTATATTCTGCATTGTATTGGATGCCGTTGAAAAATCACCAACTGATCTGACACTAGTCATTCTCTTCTCCTGCAATGTACTGCAATTATTTGTTTTTACGCTCCTTTGAATACTTTGATTCTTAAGAAAACTGGATGTCTTATGATTCTTCTCCTCATACATTATCAGTCTATTTTCGAAAAGACTATTGCTTTTCCTGTGTAATGTTCTCTTCGGCGAGCGGATCGATTGAAAACTGATGCGACGATTTAGGATATTTTGGCGTGATATCCTTGAAAATTCGGGTAAATCAGCCTTATGGTTAAAATCTTTTCGGCTCTTTTTAACCATCATAGGTAATGTTTTAGAGCCATCTTTACTAAATACATTTTCACAACAAAATCTTGGACAAGACGAATTAAGAGTTTGAAATTTAGCAATTTTATCATTTATCATATGATGATGATGATGATGATGCTTTGCTAGAATAACTCGACGAGATACTCCAAATCTAGATATGTGCGATATTTCTGATTTGCATTTGATATTATTATGTAGATTCACATTACAAAAACATTCCAGCCTATCACTTGCTGTCGATTGCTCAGGCATATGTGAATATGGGTCAAAAGAATTATGCAATGCACACTCATGGTATAACGGATTATTTGTAATTGATACTTCTGTCTTTGATAAAGTCTTTAATCGTTTTTTAGTTTGGCTCTTTATTGACAAATATCTGATGCTATCAGAACATTTTTTTACATTTGATTGCATTTTCAAGCGGCTATATTTTATATAAAAATGATGATGAACAATATTTATAGTGACGTGGTTTGGGGAAAAGATGTTTTTTCAACATTCTTGAGACTATTGCTGTGCTTGGTAATCATCATTTGAGATGTTTCTACTCTTGATCGAGACACAGCCAACACTTGAATGTACATATACATACATATAAACACAAGCATCAAGTCAACAACACTTCCGTTCACTTCGAGGTCATTGCACGCGATGGTACCAGGATTGGCCGTACCACTGGCCTCTTTGAAACTCGAGTTTTTCTTTTGCACACAGCCCATAACTACTGAGTTTTCATTCCATTGTTTTTTTTTATACCCGAATTTTGTCACTTTTTTCTATTAACAATAGGTCAAATCGAATAGGATAATAAGATTGGAAATATTGAAAAATAAATCCATTGCAAGTATTGTGTTTGGCTTATATTTCATAACCGACAACCATATATAGGTATACAGGTTTTTAATCAAGTTTACTATTGTAATTTTGAATTTTTTAAAGCACACTGATTTTTTTTTTTACCAATCTTTCATATTTTCTTGATTGTTTAAACGTTTTTCTTTATAACTCCCATTAGCATTGAAAAGCAAAGCACTTTATTCCGATATTGTTGAGTTTTATTGTTTGGCTCAACAAATTTATGATTTTTCAATGGAATGAGATTAAGAGATTTTTTAACATGCAGCCTCGAGGATGTTCAATGTACAACTGAATGCCCAATGTATTTTCTCCTCATAACTATTGCTCTTGGTGTACAGTGGCGTAGATTGTTTTAATTAATCCTGTGGTGAGATAATTGTATGCTCATCGAAGCGTTTTATTCTTGGTTGAAACACAACCCACACGTACGTTCAGTTCAGCCTTTACGTAGATATCTCCTCTCCTAATATAACCATAATCATAGCGCACATGCTGTCAAATGGCAAATGTTGACTTTGTCTCATGATATTAATATAATAGTGAATCGTTAAATATTTTCCCCTTTAACGTCATTGAATGTGGAATGAAAAATTTTGGAGGGGAACCGAGCGTATCTCTTTTCTTTTATGTATAAATTATGCCGTAAACAGCTTTTATCTATATTATTTACGTAAATGAGAAATCTATTGTTGTAGTATTCTTGTCGCGAATCTTTCCATATTACTTTTAGCATTGCTCATTTTTTTCGTTAAAATCGGACAAAATTTCATTGAGCCAATAAACACTTGATGAACATCCATACCATTAATCGATGTATTATAATCTATCGTCATAGGCAAAAATAGCCTTGTTGTTAATTTATAAATGTTACGATTTAATGGATTATACACTTACCATTTGCCAGTCTGCGTACATATTGCACTAATTATGGCTAATCCCCTTGAATGTTGCACATGCTACCCTAAAATATTGGAAAATATCAATCAATTCATGTTGAGGAAACTTGGAATAATTACATATATTATCAACGGCGATGATGAATAAAAACTGCTATTGTCATCAATAGAAAATCTACCATTTCGACAGTATATATTAATTATATTGAGAAATTAAAATTGACTCAGCTTATTGATAATTTGATACGATTACGAAATGAGAAATAAGTGATAGAATGAAAGAATGGCATGAAACGAGCGCTTTTTGGGGAAAAGTTTAATTAATTGTTTGAGAAAGTCCTAGTTTAAAATCACTTGGGGAATGATTATAGATAAAATTTAACGTACAAATAAATGTAGAAATTTATTTAAAATTCTGAAAATACTCCGGAGAATTTCAGGAATTTCACAAGTTTTAAAAAGATACAAGAAAGGCTTTTCTATTATATATTTTGAGGATAATGTGGAGCATCATGAAATAATTTTAGGCAATCCGGTGGTTTTCATAAAGATGACGTAAAACTACAATTGTAATTTATTTTCATTGTATACGGAGAAAAAGAAAAATAATCTATTTTGAAACTAGAAAAAAATCTTGATACATATGAATTTGAGAAAAAATAATGGCCTTGTACAGCAACACTTATAGGCTCTTTAAATGAGCCTAAGAAATTCAGGAATGAGTGAATGGAAACTATGATATGACTCAGAATTCAGGATCTCAGTTAATGTCTGTTCATTGCAGTCTCAACCATATATTCACTGTTATACAGCTACAGGAGCACGAAGAAATCAAAGGTATCGTCGACCAGATATCGAGGTCAAACAGAGAAAGCAGCAACTCCACAGCAGTGATACAAGATTTCTTACATAATTCATAATTACCGCTTTTGTTGTTGTTGTCTTTTCTATTACCATTTTTTCTTCTGCATAAATCATTTCAACTACCAGTCAATGAAAAAGGATAATAACACGGAAAAAAAATTATATAGAGTATTGAAAATAGTTTTAGCATTTCCTTTCATTAGCAGTTGTGTATTTTGAGTTTTTCTCATAATTTCTTTCCATTATAATTGCAGAATAGTATAAAAATGCTATTATTAATCGTAATCATCTGCATGACAAAGAGAGAGAGAGAGAGAGAGAGAGAGAGAGAGAGAGAGAGAGAGAGAGA